TCAACTACCTCCACTGGTACAAAAGACATCCTACCGGGAGCGACGCTCACGGACCTTTTCCGAGGCCATATGAAGGAGGAGCCCGTTATATTGTTCCTGTTTTGCTTTGATTCACTCCAAGGGGGGAGCCCAAAACCTGGTACGGAGCTCCCGGCGGTGCTGCGGAGCAGCTGGAGGAGGTGATGAAGAAACTGGCCCCGGAACTGTTTGAGTCTCAGCCCGACCTCTTGCACCAGCTGGTCACCATCATGAACCCGAATACCCTGATGGCCCACGGGGTCCCGGTCTGTTTTGCGCATCGTCGGCACGCCACAAATAGCCTCTCCGAATGGATCCTCATTTTTTTTGGGGGGTTGGGGGCCTTCTGCTTCAGATTTATAGAACAAACCAGTGCGCTGGTGAATTTGTCGTCACCTTTCCCAGAGCCTACCACAGCGGCTTCAATCAAGGCTTCAACTTTGCGGAGGCAGTCAACTTCTGCACTGTTGATTGGGTGAGTGGGATTTGCTCGGCCTCCACGTGTTGCGGGCATCTCAAAAGTGTCACTTCACCTTTTCGATTTCATTGCAGATGTCACTTAAACAAATGTGCGGCCGTCAACCATTTGGCAGCGGAGGCTTTGCGTTTTTTTCTAAACAGACCGTTTCCTTTGGCCGTGACTCCTCAATTGCCATTGGAGCGGCATTGTCAAATTGTCACCAAACAAAGCGAATGTTCTGCCACTTTTGGGACCCGGTGTCTTTTGTTGTCATTGCGAAGCATCGGTGGGAGCGTTGAAGCGCGCTGGGACGTTTTCCCGCACGCGCTTGCGCTTCACGTCGGCATGACCTGACCTTGATCTTCTCTTCCCGTCCCTCCAGATGTCTCTCGGTAGGCAATGCGTCAGTCACTACCGCACGCTCCACCGCTACAACGTCTTCTCCCACGACGAGATGGTGTGCAACATGGCAGCCAAAGCAGAGACCCTCGATGTGGTGTTGGCATCCGCTGTCCACAAGGACATGGCCGTCATGATCATGGAAGAGCAGGAACTGAGGGGAAAAGTGGCAAAAATGGTGAAGCAGTCAGAACGACTCGGTCCGAATCCGTCGCCCATCACCCCTCACCTGCGGTTTGGCCTTGGCGTTTGAAGGGATTGGTGCAGTGGCGGGAGGCCAAGTACGATCATCTCCAGGATGACGAGCGGCAGTGTGCCAAGTGCCGGACCACCTGTTACCTGTCCGCCATCACGTGTCCCTGCAGCCCGGGCGTGCTGGTCTGCCTGCATCACGTCAGCGACCTGTGCTCCTGCCCGCTCACCGACTACACGCTCAAGTAAGTCGCCACCGCTCAGAGGTCGGGGCCCTTTCCAGACGGACGTTGCTTCTCTGCAGGCCAAACGGTGGCATCGGATTTGCTCCTGTAGTTACAGATACACGCTGGAGGACCTCTTACCCATGATGAATGCCTCCAAGCAGCGGGCTGAGCAGTATGACGCCTGGGCCTCTCGCGTGTCAGAGACTCTGGAGGCCAAACTGGAAAAGAAGAAAGGTAAGTTGTGGAGGGAAAAACACACAAATCCAGTCCAAAGTACCAACAATGGCGGACCATCGTGCGCGTAACGTTCCGCGTGGGCCTGCCAGTACTGTCAACGGTCCCCTCCCCCGCAGGCTTGCCAGTTTTCCGCTCGCTGCTTGCCGAATCCGAGTCGGAACGCTTCCCCGAAAATGACCTGCTGCGTCGCCTGCGTCTGGTCACCCAGGATGCAGAGAAGTGCTCCTCCGTGGCGCAGCAGCTCTTGAACGGGAAACGGCAGACCAGGTACGTTGCCGAGACGAGCCGCCTCAAGACACGGCCGTGGCCTTGACATGACCTTGCTCCCAAGGTATCAATGTGGCGTCGGGAAATCCCGGAGCCAGCTGACCGTGGAGGAGCTGCGTTCGTTTGTGAGGCAGCTGTATAACCTCTCCTGCAGCCTCACGCAAGCGCCCTTGTTGAAGGTAGGCTCGGGGTGAAGAGAGCTTGAGAATGCGCTCAGAGCGATGCTGCTGCTGCTCACTCCCTTTTGCCCTCTCCTTTGAAGGAACTCTTGAATCGCATCGAAGACTTCCTGAGCTTGAGAATGCGCTCGGAGCGATGTGCTGCTGCTGCTGCTGCTGCTGCTGCTGCTGCTCACTCCCTTTTTCCCCCTCTTTGAAGGAACTCTTGAATCGCATCGAAGACTTCCAGCAGCACAGCGAGAAGGTCCTGGCCGACGAGTCTCCCGGCGCGGCTGAGATCCAGAGCCTGTTGGACGTCAGCTTTGACTTTGACGTGGACCTGCCCGAGCTGCCGCGCTTGAGGGAGCGGCTAGAACAGGCCCGCTGGCTCGAAGGGGTGGAGCAAGCCGTCATCCAGCCTGCAAGCCTCACTTTGGAAACCATGCGGAGGCTCATCGACCAGGGCGTGGGCCTGCCACCGCATTCTTCCGTGGAGAAAGCCATGGCGCGCCTTCAGGAGCTTTTGACCGTGTCGGAGCACTTGGAGGACAAGGCGAGCGGTCTTCTGAAAGCCAGGTGAAGGCGGCGCGTCAACCGATTGAACATGGCCGTTCACCTCAGTTCGCAAGGATGCCAAAACGTTGCGCCCCCCCAAAAAAATGGCTGATCACGTCGGTGGCTTCCTTCTTCAATGTACCTAAAATCTTGCTTTGTTGTACTCGTCATGTCTCCTCACTTTCTGCCTGGTCTTTGCACTGATTATTTCTGAATGATTTCATATCACGTCAGTGCACCTGATTTTGCTTCATTTGAATTCCAGCTAGTGCAAAAAGCTGTGGCTAGAATATTCAACCAGATCAACAAAAAGTGAGCATCAAGTTTAGTTCCCCCGTCATTGCACCGGTGCTGTCCGGCATTTCCTGTCGCAAGTTGCTTTTAATGGCATGGCGGTTAAGGAATGCGCATGCCTCCATCTTAACTTTGAGCTTCAACTCCAAAAGTGACTGATGTTCCTTTGCCATGCTTAGCTCTGATTTTTGACTTTCACCCTTTTGGGTTTTGCAAACATTTGAATTCACGAGGACAAACAGTTTTCATGGAACTTCTCCTCGTTTCTCAGAGAGCAGCAATTTGGCGGTTGGGGTTTTGCAAACATTTGAATTCACGAGGACAAACCGTTTTCATGGTACTTCTCCTCGTTTCTCAGAGAGCAGCAATTTGGCGTCCAACAATACCATTTCCTGTGTGGACTGGAAACAATGCAGAAAAAGAATTTGAATTTGTTTTTTTGGGTTGGGGGGGGGATCCCCCGGTCCCTCCTCCAATATTTTACACAGAATTTTCAAGTTTTCCAAAAAAAGAATTTGAATTTGTTTTTTTGGTGGGGGGGTCCCCCCGGTCCCCCCTCCAATATTTTACACAGAATTTTCAAGTTTTCCAAAACAAAAGCAGATACAAATAAGAATTACCTCATTCATTTGATCTTGAACGTCACAGTGTCGTCTTTGATTCCTAAGCGAGTGTCTCCTTGTGTCCTGCTTCACCCATCAGACCGCCTCACTCCATTGAGACCCTGAATGCTGCGGCTGAGGAAGTTTCCGGCGTCTCCTCTCACCTCCCTAACTGCCTCCTCCTGAAGGACACCATCAGAAAAGCTCTAGAGTGGCTCCAGGAAACAGAGGAGCTTCAGGTCAGGATGCACTTGGCACTTTTGGACACATGCTTCAAAGTCTACCTTGGGGTGCTCAGAAGGCAAAAGATATCCAGTATGCTTGATCAAGAAAAATTGCATCCGAATGCGTGTTTGGCTTCTAGTAAATCTTCTGATAGCGCGCAGGACTTTTCTGTCCGAGACGCCATAACAGCTAACATACTTGCTCTTGCGTGGCCTACGGGAAACGGAGCCATGCCGTCGCGTTGGTGAATGCCAATGCCCCCGAAAAAAAAAGACACGAAAAATCTGATGGACTTAAACACAATATAGCAAAAAAAAAAAAAAAAAAGAAACAATCTACGGAATCCCTAAATGAATAAATAAAATACAGATTAGCCAAATGCACGGAGCTAAATAAAAAGAGCTCATGGCCACGTCAGGGTTTCCACGGGTCATTTCAAAGCATGACAAGTCATGACGTGGATTTTGTGAAAATGAAGGCCTTAAACGGCCTTAAAAAGCATCCACGGTGATACCCGGAGGTTATCCCCAAAAAGGAAATGGGATCGCTCGAAACAGATCGGGGAAGCACGACTCTGACAGACGAGGCGGGTGCGCGGCGCAGAAGGCGGAAGCTTGTCTGTGACCCCCGGTGGTCTCCCATTTCCCCGGCAATACCTGCAAAGGCGGCGTCGGAGGGACACGCTAACCCACAACCCCGTTGTTTTGCAGGCTAATGACCGCAGACCTCTGGTGGACAACTTAACTGATATGGTGCTACGAGGACAAGCCATCCAAGTCCACCTGGAGCCCTTAGACAGACTCGAGTCCGTTGTGGCAGAAGTGCAAGACTGGAAAGAATCTGCTGCCTCCCTTTTCCTCCCGAAGGACACGGCCCACACCCTACTGGAGGTAAAGCCCTCCTCCGCCGGAGTCGTCCTTACGGCTCTGGAGCAAACGGGAGGCCTGACTGTTGCCTTTTTCGTCGCAGGCTTTGTGTCCAAGATGTGAGGTTGGAAATGAAGGCTCCCCTAAGAGGAAGGCCAAGAAGGGGAAGGAATCGCCTAAAAGTACCAAGAAAAAAGGCCCGAGGCTCAACACTGTCAGCGATGTGGAGAAAGCGCTTTCGGAGGCCAAGGACTCCGCCTCCGTTGTAAGTGGTCGTCCAGCGAGAACCTCGATCCATCGCGGTATGCCGTTGGCTTGACACGCATCATCTATATTCCCAAATCGTTTCCTGCGCGTTAACGGATGTTGTGCGTCCGTTCCCGAGCGTGCATTGTCCACCTCAGTAAGCCTCATCTCGAAGGAACTCGTAAATCCTCCCTCATGTCGTCACTCCGAAGCGGCGATTTTGTTGGCCCAAAGTCATTCTCGCAAACAAAATGTGTTGCCTCTCGCTGCCTCAACGGGGGACTCGGCTTGATTTTCAGAATGCGACGCTCGAGGCTCTGCGGGCCAGGGAGATGGAGGCCTTCCGTCAGCTGAGAGTGGCAAACGAGTCCAAGCTGCTCCCGACCGCAGACTGCACGGACCTGAAGGTGTGCGTCTGTCAGAAGGCGCTCATGGGAGCCATGCTGCAGTGCGAGCTCTGCAGGGACGCCTTCCACAGCGTGTGCGTCCGGGACCGATCGGACCTCAGCGACACGCCTCCGTGGCTGTGTCCCCAGTGTCAGAGATCCAGAAAGCCGCCGCTGAGCAAAGTTCAGCCTCTGCTCGCGTCCCTGAGGCGGATCAGAGTTCGACTGCCCGAAGGGGACGCGCTGCACCACCTGGTTGAGAGGACGGTTAACTGGCAGCGTCGGGCGCAGCAGATTGTGCAGTCTTGCCATTTGACCGAGCTGGAAAAGGGAGCCGAAGCGCCCCCCGTTCTGACCCGCTGCGCGTCAGACTCCGCCGACACTTACGGCAACACGCAGGTCGCGCGTCGTCTCCCTTTTCGCTCGCTTTGGGGGATCGGGGTTCGTCATCTTGGTGTTTTCCTGCAGGCCCCTTGTTTGACTCCAGAGTGGAACAAGACGACCCATTCCCAGACCGTCTTCTATACCGAGCAGAGATGCATTCCGCTGCAGGGTCAGCCGCCCGCCCGTCCCTCCCGTGCCGATTGGATCTATTGAAAGGAAACGGCGTTCTCGTTTGACGTGACGCCTTTGGCTTGACAGGCTTGAATCAGGACCTGGAGGAACTGATGGTGGAAGGCCTCCTCCTGCAAGTGTCACTGCCAGAAGTCCACACGCTGCACCGTCTTTTATTGGACAGGGCCACGAGCCAGCACACGATGTCTCCAGCACGGGACGATTCCACGGACTGCGACAAACGCGGACAGTTTCACTCTCAGGGAACAAAACTCAGTCAGGTAAACGCATCACCCGCCACCCAGCGACTGGGCAGGGCCCTCTTTCATCTGTTTTCCAAAAGGTCACATGACAGAGCTTGATTTTCATTGGTCGGGTTTACCCCATCTGTTAGTTTCTGTCATTTCTTTGTCACTTTTTTGACGTTCAGTTGCAAATCAAAAATGGAAAGTGAGAAAAATACACAGATATTTTTAATTTTTTTTTTTTTTAAATATGCTTGTCATCTAATGTGCTCTGTCTCTCAGGATGCAAAAGTGAGGGAAGCTCTGATGGTGCCAGAGAAGAAAGCAAAGAGGCATTTGCCGATCCACGGGGAGCGGCGGGCGAGGGACAGAAAGCATTCTCACAAAAGACAGAAGCTGAATCAAAAGGAAGTTCAGCGCAGGCCGGCCTCCAACTTGTCCTCGCCGCGTTCTGATATCTCGCAGTCCGACGAGTCCGATGAGGACATGGCCGTGTGTCCCGCGGAGCGATGCCACCTCCCTGAGGGAAATGAGGTGGGGAGAAAGTCTCGAAAGGACTCGGAAGCATCAAAAACGACCGTATTTGCCTTCTTGTCCGCAGGTGGACTGGGTCCAGTGTGATGGCTGCTGCAACCAGTGGTTTCACCAAGTGTGTGTCGGGGTCACGGCCGAAATGGCTGAGAAGGAGGACTACGTTTGTGTCCGATGTGCACTGAGCACCACGCGCATGATGGAATGAAGCGATCCCGCCCAAAACGACGCTTGTTGGGTGCCACCAGCCTCACCCTCACCTTTTGTCCAACCCTTTTGTAACAATGGTGCTATCTTCTCTTTCACTTGTTGTCCAGAACTATAATTGTTCGGTTCTTTTTTTTTTGGGGGGGGGGGGATTTTTACATGCATATTATATATATTTACTTATGAATTGTTTGTGGCGGTCAAAATGGAGGGGAAAAAAAACAGGATGTGATGTGTACTGCATGGGATGCCATTACATCGACGTAAAGGAGTCTTACTTCAAACACACCCAGTCATGGTTAAATGGTTGATCAGGGGGTCAATATTCTCTTCTCTCAAGCCTAATTGCATGCAAGATTTAATGACATCGGAGCCAAGGTTTTCTCCCACCTCCCTTTTGAATCCAGCGTTTGGTACATGCATCTTCATATGATCGTTGCCATTTTTGTAGAATAGTTTTATTTATCCGAGCAATAATTTCTGTCCAATTTAACAAATGGATCTCCGGCGAATCGTTGCTGCCGTTAGCAATGGTGCGATGTACAGCGGGGAACGGGCGCAGCTGCAGCAGCGGGTTGAAGACACTGCTCACATGTACAAATGGCAGCGTGTAACTTGGGATAGGATACTCAGTGTGGACTTGCTATAGTTTATATTGTGGAATAAATTCATTTTGTTCTATGGATAAGTCTGTCTTTGATACAGTGATCAGTTCTGTGTTGTGCCGTGGCAGAACCAAGATGTGTGCGTTTATTTTGAACAGTCATTTCAGAAAGCTGAAGAGGAGGATGCTCAGCCTTTCGCAATAAAATGAACCAAAGCAGAGCGGCAAGTTTTGTTTGAACATGACAGATGCACGTCACACTGTCAACTAAACTACAGTACTGGCAACTATTTTGTCTTTTTTTTTTTTTTTGGTCTTGGCTTGGGTCGTCAAGGTGCCCCATCGTTTTCCCATACATGTCTTAACCTTCTGCATCCTCTTCTCATCGATCAACTTCCTTCTCCAGCTCTCTTTCTTGCCTTGCACCGTCTTCCTCATCTTCCTCCTACCAGTCGAAAACCATCCAAAGTCGAGTCTCTAAAACGGTCTTGCGGAGGGATCTTATTTCGAATAATATTCAAGCTGGTCACTATTGAAGAGAGCCTCAACATCTCCATTTTCACCCCCTCCAGCTTGACTTCCTCTTACCTATTCAGTGCCAGCGTCTCTAGCCATACCACTGCACATACTGTATATTGACTTCAGTTCATCTTCATTCCTTTCCTTCCCAGCGCATGCCGCCGCCTTTCTAAATGTTCTCCCGTCTGCGACAAAAGATAAGATAAGAAAACCTCTTATTTGTCTCACAATGCAGGAGTTCGCATAGTCCATGAGGATCCGGTCTCACCTGTCACCTCTGTCAACCTGGCCATCACTATGGCAAAGAGGAGGGGGGCTCACAGCTGATCCCCGACGCAGTCACGCCCATGATACACCTCAGCACCGTTCTGCTTCTCTCGCATCTTTCAGCTGTACCATCCAACCAGAGTTTTCTGCCACGGTTCCTCACAGGCTTTCTCGATCATCAACGACAGCTTCTCCTGACCTCTTCTGCGCGTCTCCATCAATACAACAGCAACGGCGGCCCTCCAAGCCAAGGCGTGAATCTGTACAGTTGCACACGGATACGCACTTCCGTCCTGAATCTTGCCTCCATGTCTCTTTCCCAAAACGCATTGTACGGTTCCTGACAACATAAATCCCAAATTGCAAGCGGAGGAAGCGTCGTTTATTTGCAAAAATAAAGAATGCTTCAGATAAGTCCAGTGATTTTTAAACATATGTGTTCGTTTCCCCCACAGTTAGACATACTTTCTGCGATGTTATTTGTGCTTGAGGGGACGCCGTGATTTTTCGAACGTAAAAAGTGTCATATATGACTCAATGAATGGAACGAGGTCGGCACGGTGGGCGACGGGTGAGCACGGCCGCCTCACAGTGCAGAGGTGCAGGCTTCGATTCCGGGCGACGGCCTTCCTGTGTGGAGTTTGCACGTTCGGTCTTCCTTCGGGGCACTCCGTGGATTTCTTCCCACATCCACAAAACATGCATGTCAGGTTAACGAAACACTCTAAATTGTCCTTAGGTGTGAGCGGTTGATTTGTTCGTCTCTGTGTGCGATTGGCCGCCAACCAGTTCAGGCTGCACCCCGGCTACTGACCCAAGACAGCTGGGATGGGCTCCAGCACGCCTGCGAACCTCGTGTGGGATGGGCGGCTCAGATAACGAGTGGATGAATGGGACCACCACTACAACTGTACTATGCAGGAGAATATTGATAAAAGGGATGTGCACTGGTTTTATTTCATTTGTCTATAAGGAAGAATATACAGTTATCAACAACAATTTGTGTACACAGGGGGAAATACATTACCAATGGTTCTCTCATAAGCGGATGGAATCCGACTTCTTTACTAAATAATATTTTATGTTTTTTTTTTTTTTGCTACTTTCAGCTATGCGTTGCAATACAGTTCCAGTAGATTGAGGCGTAATTGAAAATGACAAAGAGGCCGAGATACTGAGTGAAAAGTTTTCACAAAGGTTGAAATAAGCGCCCGAACACGGAGCGCTGTGATTGGCTGATCTTGAGCCAATCAACGGCCGTCGTCTGGATCCTTCCGCACGTTCGCCCAGTTATGATTTTTCGGGCACGGACGCATTCACACAGCCCAAAACGGTGAGTGTTTTGACAAGCTTCCGAGTCCAATTTGCTCTCGGTCGCACGTCTGTCCAGCTTTCAACTCCAGTAGATTTTGATCAATACCGTTGAAGTCTCCATCGAGACAGTAAAACGAGCCGCGGCTGGTAGTGTATTAGCGCACAGGTTCGCGGGTTGCTAACCTCAAGCTAAATGATTAACTCCGGTTGTTGTCGACAGAAATCCCCTTTGGCGGCACACTGCTGTCACGGAAAGTTTAGCTTGTTGCTTCCGCGCTGGAGAGCTACCTCAAAGTGCCCCCGGTGGTGTTGGCGTAAAACTCCACTTGGAGTTTTGTCGTCACCCCTTTCAAGTGAAAACGGTGATAAATTCACCGTTCTGCCGCTGGAGCTCAGCTTCGATTCATATTTCTTCTCCGTGAACCCAACGATAGTCGACACAGCGCTTATTTCCTTATTCACAGTAACATCCGGTGTCGCTTGTCATGTCTTCATTCCATCGACGTTAGCGTAATGCTAGGACAGTAACAGGACTGTTGTAGTTTTAACAGCAACTCACGAAACTTGGCGCCCCCCCCAGCCCCCACCCCATTGTGTTTAAAAGTTATTTTCTTTTGTCACGCTGGCAATCGCTGACTTTTTCGCTTGGGGTTTTCGTGCGGTAGACAAGTTTGGCAAACTAATAGCCACACCCTTCCTTTTCGAGAACGGCTTTTCTGTAATCTGACGTCCAGTTTATTGTTATCATTCCAACAGCCCCCGCTTTCCTTTTTGTATTAAAAGTACCACATCGCTTCTTGAGTTGTGCTTTAATTAGATTTTCGGTCGTTGATGGCAGTGCTTCCAGCGAGTTTTTGGGCAAATCGCCCATGAAGTATTTATTGTACGTCTATGTTGCTTTTACTCGGTTAGAAATGCTTCCGACGGGTAGCTCTCAACTGTATGTTGATTTTGACTCCGTTCAAAGCACTAGATCGCGCAGTGCTCCTTTCATTGTTGCTGACTTTTAATAAACATTCCCTTTTCTGATGAAGCAGGACGCCCCATTTCAAGCTTTGTGGCCCCCGGTGACCCGGAGCACCCTCCGCTGTCTTCTGTGCACCCAAGGATCTCCCAGATGTAGAGGGAGTTGACCTTTGCAGCTGCTGTCTACACAGTATGTTGATGTGTTCCCAGCTCTCGTGTTTTTATTGTCAGATTGATTTCGAAGGCACTTGTCGATACACACGGGGCTAGAATTACACTTCTGACAGATTAAAGGAAAATCTGAACCCCAAGACAAAGGCAGTAAAACACTTCCTTTAAAGGCCTTTCGCCCTGAGCTTAACAACACGCCGCCCGTCATAGACGAGCCCATTCTGCGAGGGCGTGACGACGAAACGCCGTGTCGCCTTGGGCGAGCATTTGACATCGCTGTGATGTCAGACGCGCATCTAACTGACAAAGCATTGGCGGAGTAATCAGTAGAGCCGCCAGAGGGAAAAGCATCCACACTACTTCCTCGTGGTGTATGTTAGGAAGGGTAGTTCGTGAAACAAAGCCAAATTTTAGCATATAAAATTATTTGTGATTTGTTACTGGAGAGAGGAGGGCCTGAAACTCAAAATAAATGTTAAAATTAAAAAAAAAAACATACCTTGATGGTCGTTACCATTACTGTACTTGAAACTGCACCTACGTAATCGGATGGTTGATTATTAGAGCAGCGAGCATAACATGGACAGGTTCAGTTTGCACTTTACTCCCATAATATTCTTGTGGACTCTCGGGTCACCTCTCTCTCGTGCAGGATTTGAATGTCACGGCAATGCCTGCGGCCTCTGATTTCCATTTTCGGTTTGTACATGCCCTCAAGTAGAGTGATCACAATGGCCCATTGTGGCGCTGCGCGTGTAGCTGTCGGTGCGGGCCTCTGCTGGCGCAGGCGCACGTCACTCTTCGAATTGCAAATGCTGCCCGAGTGTGACAGAGTGCTTTTTGTATTATTGTCTCCCAAACTCCCACGACGATTAATATGTTCAAAGAGGCTCAGAAATGAGTGTGAAGTGTCTCTCTCTCTCTCTCTCTCTCTCTCTCTCTCTCTCTCTCTCTCTCTCTCTCTCTCTCTCTCTTGCGCTATCGAGGCATTGGATGGGGAGATAAAAAAATACAATTGTAATATGACTAGGTTAAGACCAAGCATGAGGCGAAATATGAAAAAGAATTTTAATCTTACACAGCAAACAACAATCTTTCTCTCCAGAGACCGGTGTAATATTGTTCATAGTTAGCTCATAGTTGCAATAACGTGAGCCAGGTGGTTAGCTCATAGTTGCACAAGATACTTAGGCTTTGTCCTTGTCAAATGACAACTTGACTGTTGTAATTCTTAGACTTGAACTCTTGTGAAATGATTACCCGACAGAAGTTGTCTTGCCCTGTGTAGTTCTGACTTTATTCCTGCAAATCACGACTCTTTTTCTTTGATATTTTCAGTTTGGACACAACACGAGTCGCCCTTGTGGAATCCCCCTCCCCCCACCCCCACCAAATAAAAAATAAAATAAAATCCACAAGCACTGCCACTGCCCCCCCCCCCCCCCCCCCATACACACACACACACACACACACACACACACACACCGAAGCACTTTGGGCGAAGCAGCAGATGGAAGCGATGCTTTGGAGTTTGACCTGTAAATTGTCACTTTTTGGGGACCTCCCCTTGAAATGATTTTCTTTGGAAAAAGCAACTTGGCTTGGCGTGGACCCAAAGTGTGGGGCTTCCTGTCACCGAACGTCACACGCGCACCCTCTGACTGACTCTCTGTCCTTTCGCAGACCCTCGTGGTGTCCACTGAAGTTGCCCATCATGCGCGAGTACAAGCTGGTGGTGCTGGGTTCAGGAGGCGTGGGGAAATCCGCACTGGTGAGGGATTGACGCCGCCGCGTCAGTCTTCTTCTTCTTATCGCCGCATCAGCTGGACAACAACGGCAATCTGTTTTGAAACAAATCTGTATGAAAGAGCAAGAGTCCAAAGAATCATATTTTGGACTGAAATCTCTCCCATGTCATTCATGCCAGTCCAACCCAAAAGCATTCGTCCTAGCGTAGTGCGACGAAAGTTGCCTTTTCAAACGTATTCAAATGTCCAAGTCTATTCAGATATTTCTGTTTTTGTCATATATCTCGTAGTGAATTGGACTTGAGGGCATTTCCCTCAAGTGCTGTAACCGTGGAACCTCAGTTTTTGTGATCCGTCCCCAAATTTTTGGTTTAAACCAAATCATACGAAAACGAATGTGATATTTCCCATAGGAAATAATGGAGAAGTCGTGTGTCTATCCCAGACACCCAAACAAATACTGTATATCTTTTATTGAGACTAACCCTAAAACAATGTGAAATCGATATACAGTAAATGGCATCCCAGGGGGAGAAATGAATATGAAACGCCACTTGCACCCGCTGTGCTCTATGAATGACAGTGAGGTGGAGAGCTTTTTGTTTGGAAGGAAAATCTCGACGGCGTTCCTCCTTCTGAGCTTTGTTTGGCCCCATAAACAGTCACACTCAATACATACAGTAAGCAGCAAACTCTCCAAATACCTCCGATGAACGTGCCGCTGTTTTGCACTGACGCTCGCTCAACAAGAGAACACTTCATAAAGTCACAAATCCACAGAGTGTTTTGTGCGGGGTTTGATTCTGAGAAATGTGCGGCAGAGTCACATGGGTTTAGTCCGAAAAACAAACTGCGTCGCTGTCGTGTGGTGTTCCACAAGACTCCGTTCTGGGGCCTCTGCTGTTCTCACTGGATCTGCCCGCATTGGGCTCCCATCTGAAGGACATGCGGTATTTCCTTCCACTGCTAGGCGGATGACTGTGAGATCGATGTACCGCTGAGCCAAAAAAGGGCACTTCCTCGCGGGGCGGGGGGGGGGGGGGGTGGTCACTTTGACCCTGTCTGGAGGAAACCAAGACCCCGGGCATGTCTTCGTTGGCTCCCTTGACATTTTCGAGTTCTCTTGAAGATCCTGTGATTTGTTTTCCAATCTTGAAATGGCCTCGCCCGGTGCCTCGGGTCTGCGGACCGGACACTATTTGAGGTACCGAAAAACTAAGCGGAGGCTCCGAGGGACTGGAGCCTTTCCCGTTGCCCCTCCCTGTCTTTGGAATGAGCCCCCTCGCTGGCCATTTTCACCTCAACTCACCTTCGAACTGGTCATTTTTAGTCTTTGGCTTTGGACTCCGCATGAGGCTTGCTTTTGAGTTGGATTGTGCTTTCTACTGTCTTAGTTATTCATTGATTGTTTTATGGTTTATTGTTGTGCGAATTCTTTGTGCTCCGTGTACAGCACTTTGTTGACAGCCGTGATTGTTTTCGAGCGCTCGTGAAATCCACTGGAGTTGAGATCGTGACAGTTATTGTGTTGATATTGTTGGAATTATACGATCGTGACTTTCCTTTGTTTGTTCACTCTAGACAGTCCAGTTTGTGCAAGGAATTTTTGTGGAAAAGTACGACCCGACAATAGAAGACTCCTACAGAAAGGTAATCTCTGGATACATTGTCTTCAATCGGTTTCCAGTATTTATTTACTCCAAGTTACTTTACAAGCCAATGCCCATTTCAGCTTTGTTGGCAGGCTGTTTGGAATCTCTTGCAGCCCCTGGGCTGAAAGTTTATTTTCAAATAGAAAACCTTTAATGGTGTTCTCACCCTGTCCCAGTGTTCTATTTTATTTTTTATTTTTTTTAGTCTTTCGACACACGGCGCCAAAAAACATGTCTGCTTATCGCAGTTCACTTTTTGCGGTGTCGCTGTATTGCCGATTCTCCTCAGCATATTGTAGACGTATTTCATGGTGATCTGTCTCCCGCGCCCACTGTTCATGCAGACTCGATGTGAAAATTCCGATTGACTTTGTTTTGATTGACAGGTCCGTAGAATGACCTTGTCAGCAAATTTCTTGCTATCTATTCAAAGTCTCGAAGTTATGGTACAGAATTCTACGGGATAAACAACGAGACCGACGTTACTTGCGTGCAACGGCTGTCCGTGGCTACAGAGTACACAAAAGTCAAAACAATCGGCAAATGGCCCACGAGTTTGCCCGATGTTTGAAGGGATTTCATCGGCCGCCTGATTTATCGCTCGTAAAATGGAGGCTTAAAAAAATACGGGAGCGTATGTTTTTAAAAAGGCAACGCGAGCGGAACCGAGTTGGCAAGTTCACCATCAAACATTGTCATCGTCGGTCTCGTCGCCGTGCGGCTCCTCAGAAATGAGGCCGGCTTTTGCGAAAGCTGTAACGCGCCTTCGCCCGAGCGTCCGCAATCCAATCGCAAATCGTGGCGTAAGTGTGAGCGGCACCTCGTTCATGTTGGCGTTGCGGTCTTTGTCGGCAAGCTTTTATTTGTATTGCAAAATGCAAAGTATCCTTGTGCCTCATCGCTTGCCCTCGCCCAAAGCGGGTTTGTCGGAATGTGGGCACGGGTGGAGAGAACATTCGCTAATGGAAGCCAAACCAGGGCGGCAGAATAAAGGATTCAAATAAATAACATCACGCTTTGGACTGCGGGAGGAGCGGAAGATGGCCGCTTGCCATTGTTTAAACAGACCACCTTAAGCGTGTCTCTTCCGAGGTGCCATTTTCGGCACGTTGTTTTGCACAATGCACATATGACATCCACCTTCTGGGGGCGTGCCTTTTGTGTCCTCTTCCCACTTCAACTTCCGCACTTTTTGTCCTTCCCCAGAGAAGTAGTGCTTTTTCAGATTCCACCCGACAGTGGCAATGTGTCCCTACCCTGAGAAAAGAATCTGGGACTCTTTGTTTTTTTTTTTTTTTTTTTAGCCCTCTGATGTACGGCTTTTAAAATGTGCGGGCTGATAAAAAGAGATTTCTGAAACCCCCTTGAAGACGGGCTGCACCCAACGGTGACCGAAGGCTTGTTTTCTCCCCTGCAGCAAGTGGAAGTTGACGGGCAGCAATGCATGCTGGAGATCTTGGACACGGCCGGAACAGTACGTGGAGCCGGACCCGGCCGGGCGGGCGCTTCCCAAAGTCAAATCAAGCAAGTGTGTCCGCCTGCCTTTGTTGTCCTCCCCAGGAGCAGTTCACAGCCATGAGGGACCTTTACATGAAGAACGGGCAGGGTTTCGCTCTGGTCTACTCCATCACCGCGCAGTCGACGTTTAATGACCTGCAGGACCTCCGGGAGCAAATCCTGCGAGTGAAAGACACCGAGGACGTGAGTGGCAGGCATCAAGTCATACTTTATGCGTCGTCCTTGCTACCCCCCCGGGCCCCCTTCCACTCCCCAATAAATAGCAGGCGAACCTAGCTCCCCCGCAACATACAAAGCTTGTCTCTAAGTCAAGACGTGTCACATGGACATACTTCATCGGAACGTACTGCGGCGGCAACTTGATTTCCGGGTTGACTTGGTTCCATCCCCCGTGGATGGAACTCGGGCTGTCACAAATGAATCGATTCTCCTGTCCATTATGCCATGGATCACTTGGAGTAATCGCCACTTCCACGCCACCGCCCCCTCCACTTGTCCGAAATTTGGGAAGGCGGGGGGAAAAAAAATCTAAATAAGATCCAGGGAAGGAGCGGTTTGGGGCGTACTTATGGGCTGGGCGATATGGCAATCAATTAAAATCAATCCAGATTTGCCTTTCTAACGGATACCCGCGGTCCCCGCCCCGTGCCCGTATCCGAGCGAATGTTCATGACATTGTTCAAAACAAGTTTTGCTTTTTCATTCTCGCCCTTTGGGGGGGCTGCTCTCTTTCTGCCGAGAGCAAACGAGCTTAAAATGGCACCAATAGGCGGGGCCAGAAGTCTGTCGCCACACTTCCCCTGTGAAGCCGCGCAGGAGTACCTCAGGGTCAAAGTTTCCAACCTAATGACTACTTTTGCAACTTCCCAATAGCTATTGCCTCTTTTGAAATGTACAGATTGATTGACGAGGTGATGGCTTTCCGTCGGGTTCCTTTCTCTGACAGAAAATGACTGCGCTCATCTTGTGCGCTTATAGTGAGACTTAAATGCCCGAGTTTCTTTATTTTTTGAAATTGTTGCTCGAAGGGTCAGGAAAAAAAATGGAGATTATTCATTCACAGTGGACTAAAGCAGCGCGCTTTGAACGATGGAAGCTGCTCAATCAATCAAACTTGATTTATCGCCAAGCCCTAATTTCACGTGTACGGCACTGCGTCTGGTGGGCTTCTGTGTGGTTGTCGACAAGCATGCATTGCATTTCCCTTCTCCCTGTTCCCTCCTCGCACCCCCTCCCCTCCCCTTTTTTTCTTTTCTTTTTTTTTAATGGAGTCATAACCCCAACTATTTGGCATTGGTCAAGCAGGTCCCCATGATCCTGGTGGGGAATAAGTGCGACCTGGAGGGCGAGCGCGTGGTGGGCAAGGAGCAGGGTCAGAACTTGGCCCGTCAGTGGAGCAACTGTGCCTTTTTAGAGACGTCGGCCAAATCAAAGATCAACGTGAATGAAGTAAGTTTGCCCGCAGCGGGCGGGCGGGCGGGCGTCGTGATGACGGACGGCCGGGCGACTCTGGTCCCATTTCCCTGCTCCCTTGACCTTCCTACGCTTTTAGATTTTCTACGACCTGGTGCGACAAATCAACAGAAAAACACCCATGGAAAAGAAGCCCAAAAAGAAGGGCGGCTGCACTCTGCTCTAAACGGCCCCTGGCATGCACGCCTTCACAAAGTCGGGGCTCCAGACCAGGTGAGCGGCTGTTGGGATGTCGTTTAGTGCTTTGAACTTCAGCCCTCTCGCGCAGCGGTCACCGCAGCGGACAGCTATTCAAAAGCCCTTTTCTTCCCCTGCCTGTCTTGATGTCAGAGTTGCACGTCATTCCCTGTGAACGAGCTTTCTCGTTCCGTAGACCGGCACGCACTGCTGAGCCATTTGAAGTGCCAAAACGGTCCAGGCCGTTACTTCTCCCCCGGGAAACTCTTACCGGATCAGGAAAATATGTGGACATCAATCAACGATTGATGACAGCGCAAAAAGAATTTGGGCTTTGCGGCAGTTGAGATATTCACGAGTCCACTAAATTGCACAATGTGCATCGCTGGCCCGACAGCGGTACCTTGACTTGGACTTGCAGTTTTGAATAATAATTGGAATGCTATTCATCAGTTGCAGTTGTCAAAAATCGCGACATTTTTGTTGCATTATACCCATTCAAAAAAGCTTTTGTAAAAGAATGTGTAAAGTGTCTCTCCTTGTCCACATGAGAGGGCAAGTCAAGGCACCGACGTATTTTAACGACCGCTTCAATCTTTTTTGAATGTTTTTCACTTGCGCTGGCTTATTTCGGCTGTAAAACAATCAATGTGAGGAGAATGCAAGGAATGAGTCGAGAAAATCCTTTCCAGTGCCGCCTTTGTTTTGCATTCACAACGGCCGGTCGGTGTGTAGCAGTGTTATTATCGTATGACGCGCTGGCGTTCCCCGCTGGAGCTGATGCGCTACTTTGACACAAAGTAGGGCTGCACGATGATGGAAAAAATAGCAATCACCGTTCTTGAGTAGTTCGCATTGAGAATTAGCGCTTGAGAAGAAGCATATTTTGTATTTGAAGATGCAGCGCGTGTCAGTCTTTTTGGTATGCGTTTAGTTTTACGGTATTCTCCAACCAGGGTTTCATTCAACAGCTTAAAGGATGCCGAGGGGCGGCAGAATCACATACGCTACCGGCCACTTGGTGTCATCAGGGTACTGTTCCAATGGCGGGAGCTTGTCAACGCACCGCGCTGTTCTGCATACCAGTCGTGTTTCTTCCATTCGTAATGTTGTCAAAATCCAAATCCCAATTTAAATGGCGAGTAATTGTCCCGCCCTAACCTAAAGACTCATTCGCATTGGGATTCACATCGAACCGCAGTGTCCGAACTGGAGCCCGGGGCTCGTAAAAAAGTGGGAAGTCGTGCGTGGAGCATAAATGACTCTCAAATGGTTCACTGAATCCTTACTTTTGTCTTTCATGTTAAGAACTGTCGACGTTCCGTCTTCTCTGAAAGCTGAAAGACTGCAGGAGTCACCACCACCTGTTTGGAAATCCTGTTTGTTTGCTTGTTTGTTTGTTTGTTTTAATGGACTAAGTTGATTCATGGATGTTTTTTGGTGAATACGAAAAGAGCCATGCTTCCGATATAAAGTGTTCTTTTGAAGTCCATCTAATTAAGTGTTGGCCTTTTTGCATTTATGAACTAACAGTGGCAATGACAATGCATCATTGTTCTTGACTTACTCTCCCACTTTGATAATAATATATTTCGCGAGTGACTTGGTTTTATAATGAGCTGCAAGCCTTACACGTCATATACTCAACTTCTGTTTTGCATAATAAAGCTGAGCTGATGTTAAATTTTTATAGACTGATGGGAGGGGGGGTCCATTTTTTTTTTTTTTTTGCCCTGAAGATGAAAACGCATTGTACTAAATCACTTCAAAGATTGTCCTGTTTGTCTTTTGCAAATATTAAAATTACGTACATTTTAATTTGTTTCTGTGTGTCCTGATGTTGATCAATGACTTTAGTTACCATGGAACCAATATATTTCACATGACGTGTCCATACATCTATGAGATGAAAAAGAAAATGTCATGTCAGAAGAAATTCTTTTTCACTTGTGGTAAGGAAACTGTTTAAACATTGGTTGATCCCTCCCCCACTGTTCATTATTTCAAAAACTTACGATTCATTTCAATATTAAGCAGAGCAATCTACTATTTTTTTGATGTTATTGCAGGCGAAGTAATCGCTAATTATATGGCACCTGCCTTGCCTCCAAGACAAGAAGAGGATGCCACGTTTCGCCGCCATCTTTCTACTACGGAGACTCAAAGTAAACAAAGTTCAAGAACGTAATTCCTCAACCAGAATGAATACAGCACGTGGAACAAATTCCCATCACTGACTCCGTCGCTTGAGGGAATCCTCCAAATCATTGGGATAATGTTTTGCTTGCACCTCTGCTGAAGGAATTGCTGTTTATACTGCCCCCAGGTGGCACACACCAAAATCAGCAGTGCCATGTGCATTGAATTGAAAGTGTGATTTAAAAAAATATATACTTTTAATTCTATTTAAATGTCATGACTATATAATGCAGTGTAGAATCGTTTCAAAAACACAAGTATCTAAGGAAACCACTGTACACAGGTGCTTGTCATGGATTCAGACGATACTTCCTACAATTTGGGTTCGGTACTTAATATCTCTATCAATCTATGGCAGCGGGGTGACACTGACCCATGACCACTTACCTGTACGGAACATAAAAAACAAAATCAAACATTCGTGGTTTGTGGAGCAATTTGATGCAGGTACATTTGAGCATTTCTAAAATGGCGCGTCCCATCTGCCAGCTTGGAATTGAAATCCTCGCCCCCTCTCATCCGAGCAGCCCTGACCATGAAATGTCTCCCATCATTTGCAGCATGACACCATTCAGCTGATCGATGAGCGACGGTTGCTCCTCACCTTACCGGCCGTCCCTCCTCTTCCTCTATCCACCCCCCACCCCAGCGAGACCCCCTGCTGCCCTGGCCCCCCCCCTCCCCCCCCCCCCCCCCCCCCCCACACACACACACACACACACACAGACCTCGACCCACCAAAGCTGCGCGACCCCTTCTCGCCCCTCCTCTCCATCATTTCCCTGTCCTCCCCTCATACAAACATGGCTGCGAAATCTGACGGTGCGGCCGTCTCTCCGCGAAGCCAAATAGCGGCCGACTATCCCTCCAGGCCGGGCCGGCGGCCTCCGCAGAGCCTCCGGGACGAGCCGCGCTACTCGGCGGCGGACTGCTGCTGGACGCTGGGCGCCCTTTTGGTCTTCTTCTCGGACGGGGCCTCAGACCTGTGGCTGGCCGCCGACTACTATCTCCGGAGGGAGTATTGGTGCTTTGCGCTCACGCTGGTCTTTGTGATCATTCCCTCCGTGGTGGTGCAGGTGTTGAGCTTCCGATGGTTCGCCTACGATTTCTCCGAGACTCCGGAGAGCGGCGCGGCGGCGGCGGCCGCGGTGGCGGCGGCGTCGTCTGCGGTGGATGGGAACGACTTGAACGCCAAGGATGGCGGCGGCGAGCGGGGCGCTGGCCGCTCCGCCGGGGCAGGGCTGCTGCCCGGGCCGGCCACCGGGGGACGTGCCCGAGCCCGAGGATGCTGCAGAGTGTTCGTGTGGCTCTTCCAGGCGGTCGTTCACATCCTCCAGCTGGCTCAAGTGTGGAGGTAAGAACGGCTCAGATGATGGGGGAAACCTCGCACCCCGGCCAGTCCTTTGTGCGAGTGTATTTCGGATTTGGGCGTCAATGGAAAGCCGTTTGAACGTTTGCCCCCAATGTCCGGCTTGAAGCCCGAGTGCGGGTGCTCTGTTTGTTGTCACTCGTAAGACAATTGCGCGCTCTCTTGTGGAATCCTTCTGACATTTCTGCACGCTCGTAGGACAACTCTGGCATACCACTCGGGCACTGCTGGGCACGTTACTCGTGAGGCAGAATTGGTCAGCAGTTAGCTACATACTTGGATTAGTCCTAGAGTACTAGAAACCGCTAGCTAGGTAGCAACTAGTGGCATGTTATGCCATTCATGGTCTTACTGGGCAGATTTGACAATCATCCCCCTCCCAAAAAAAAAGAAAAAATGTTGGCCAAAGAAATCAACAAAATTTGCCAATTTTCTTCCTGTTGTAAAGTTAAACAAAATGCCAAAGGACAAAGAATTGTAAAGCAGCCACATGTTATGCGTGTATTTAGTAACTTTGTTGCTCTTCAAATGGAGAGAAAGGCTAACCCCCCCAAAAAAAAAAACCCTCGAATAGACTTCGTGTATGGCTTGTTTATAACAGCCCTCCAACATGGCCGCCGGTAGTGCATTGTGGGTAATTGCTAAAAGGACGGAGCCCTCTATAGTGGAGGCGGTGAAGCGGTTTTCCTTTACGTGAGCGACTGCTAGCTAGCTAGCAGGCTCAAGAATTAGACACCAGTCTTGATGTGCACCCAGAAATGAGGCCTGCACGGGTTCAACCGTCAGCTCCGGTACGAGAGCTCAATGGCCATCGTGCGTACCGACGCATTTGGCTGTGTCGCCCGGTTTGCAGTGGCCGCACAATGTTATCAACTGATAATGAAGTGTTGCTTCCACTCATTTGTAGCCACGCGACAGTGGAACTGAGGTCAGTCGAACTTGGTTCCAGGCCTGGAACGCATGAATTGCATTTCTATCCATTTGAATGAGAAATGTTCCCTCACTTGGTCAACGTGAATCGAGTCATGGAACGAATTAAAAGTTTGTGAATCGAGGTTCCACAGCGAGGCTGGAAATAACTTTTTTTTTTTTTTTTTGCGGAGCAGTTTAGCAAATCAATGACTTTAATTTGAGCAGATACAGTATATTCTAATTTTGAGAAGCAATTATTTTTCTTTGCCGGTTAATCCTGAAGCAAAGGGTTTCATGATCCATCCATTCTCAACCGCTTGTCCAGGGTTGGAATGGGAGGGGGCAGCATATGTCCGAGGGTCTGTCAGGGTGTGTTGGTGGGGGGAAATGAACTGTACCGCAAAAGATGTCCAATGACTTCTTCATTTTCCTGCACCATTCACTCTTTCATAGCGACGCCCTTTCCACGTGTTCCTCGGCGGAACTCGCCGCCTCTCCCGGTCTGCGGAGAGACTAGAAGTAAAGGCTTCCTCCCACACGAGGCTGCTAGTAGGTCTGTGGGTCAGCGGCTCAGTCAGAGAGCGGAGGCGGCACTCAGACTCTCGGCGCCCTGATCGCTTTTGACAGGCCCGAGTTGCCGGCGGGGCTGGAGGAGGCATTTGCGCTGCTGGCAGGCTGTGAGGCAGCCCTGCCAGCTGGATGCTCTTTCATCCCCCCCCCCCACCATGATGTGTTGCACGATGAAATAAGACGCTCATCAATTGCTTGGAATGAACATGAGCGGTTCCTGTGATTCTCGCTATCTTGCATCTTTGTGTGCATCGGCAACCCAATATTGATTCCTTACTTCCTCCTGGAGCTGTGTGTGTGCGTGTGTGTGTGTGTGTCCAGCAACACATTAAACAGCCGAATTACCGGTAATGCCATTAAAGCGGTGCTGCGGGTTCCGTTTGTTGCAGTCCAGCACGTGTGCCCGTTAAGAGGATGACCTTCCTGTTTCCCCCTCGGCTGTGAACTCGAGAATCATCCTTCATTGATAGCCAAACCCAGTAGGACCGGACGATGCGGCTCCAAAATCGATCACGGCGCACGTATTTTCTGAGGCTGAGCCCCGAACAACTGTGATGTCATTTTCAGTCGACAGCAAGTGGCAAAACGGCCGCCCCCTGAGATGGCCGAAAACGGCTTCCTGCTTTAACCCCTCGTCCACACATGCAATAGGAATCAAAATGACGAGTGGGACAGGTACTCTCATTCTTTGGATATTTCTACTTGGAACTGCATTGAACTGTTTTCTTCCGATTTTGTCCGGAGAAGCACTTGGGTGTGACTGGCAGGTAGCTTGCTCGTGTTGTGGAAAAGCCTCACGATGACCCGCTGGGAAATAATTGACTGCAGGGGTGGCTAAACATAAGGTCCGAGGGGGCCATTTTTGTCCAACCATCCATTTTTCAGCTGCCCGCGAGATGCCCCCCCCCCAAAAAAAAACTGCCATTTGACATGGGCCGGAAGGTTAGTACAAAAAGACAAAGGTGGGCAGAGTTGAACAGAAATCGCACGGCTCAAAAGCTCTTGTGGTATCGGTTACTTGGTATCGGTATCGTGAGCATGGAGCTCAAGAGTTGAGAACTCCTCCGGGTATCGTTTTGAAAAAAACAAACAAACAAACAAACAAACCAAAAAAATTGGTGGTATCGAACATCCCTTAGTAATGACAGTACGTGCCACGAAGCTCGCCAAAGGAAGTGGGCTGATCTTGACACTTGCCAAACGCGCCAAAGTTGAGGTGTTAAGGGGGCTCCAGAAGGAGCAGGCGCGTAAGCGTCGGCACTTGCCAGCTTGTGGTGCCGCTTGTGTGTCTTTTACACATTTCGTCCCACGAGGTGTCATTTGTGTCGCGGGAAGCAGGACAACAGAAGGATACGGCGGCTCCCCCGGTGGTTCGGCGAGCTTGCTGACATCAGGAGTCGCTTACCCTTCGGTGTGAAGGGGATGCTTTCTTTGCTCGGCTCACGCGAATAGATGTCACATGTGACCCCCACGTCCAAAGAGAAAACCCATTTGCGCCTAATGGCGGGTGTGTGTGTGTGTGTGTGTGTGTGTGTGTCTCCCACATGACGCGACAGTGGCAGAAGGTCACCATCAAAGCAAGGGTGGGGGCGGGGCTTCATGTCCGCAAGGGATTTTCGCTGAGCCGTGTGCTTGCCTAACATTCAATCTCCAAACGCGAATGAGTGCTTTTATTTTGCTTCCTTGCTGTTTTTGCAGCCGGCTGACTGAAGCTCACAAAGCCCCCCCCCCCAAGAGATTTGTGTGCGCTGATATTAAAAGCTCACAG